ATGATCTGAAACATTAAAGTGTGACAAACATGCAAAAAAATAAGAAATCAGGAAGGAGGCCAACACTTTTTCACACCACTGTATTTCTGCGGGAGCGGGACTGAAAAATCCGTCCTGCGCAGGTCTCTAATTTAGTGGGTACAGGATCTAATAGGCATGTTGTTGGTTTAGATGCAGTGATAAGGTTATTTAGCTCTTCCTGTCCTATAGGTGTAAAGCACTGCAGTTTATCTTTTGGTGCGATGAATGAAGCTGAAGTATTATACGCTGTAGAAAAGATTTGAGATGGGTCTGTAATTTGCCAGTTCACTAGGATCTAGTTGTGGTTTCTTAATAAGAGGCTTAATAACCGCCAGTTTGAATGGTTTTGGGACGTGACCTAAAGACAACGACGAGTTAATAATATTGAGAAGCGGTTCTTCTGCTACAGGTAACAACTCTTTCAGTAATTTAGTGGGTACGGGATCTAATAGGCATGTTGTTGGTTTAGATGCAGTGATAAGTTTATTTAGCTCATCCTGTCCTATATTTGTAAAGCACTGCATTTTTTCTTTTGGTGCGATGAATGAAGCTGAAGTAGTAGGTGCTGTAGAATCTAAATTTGTTATTGTATTTCTGATGTTATCTATTTTATCAGTGAAGAAATTCATAAAATTATTACTATTAAACTGTGAGGGAATATTTAGATTGGGTGGCGTCTGGTTATTTGTTAATCTAGCCACTGTGCTAAATAAAAACCTTGGATTGTTTTGGTTATTTTCTATGAGTTTGCGGATATGTTCGGCCCTGGCAGCTTTTAGAGCCTGTCTATAGCTGGACATACTGTTTTTCCACGCAATTCTAAAAACTTCCAAGTTAGTTATTAGGTAGACACACATCCGCCATTAAAGCAAGTAACAGTGAGTAAAACAATGGTGATGTGTGTGAATAGAGTATTGGCAATGTAAGTGAGATTAGCGGCAACCACGCTGGTGATGCTAACGGGCTATAAGCTAATAGTGGACTCGGGAAATCAAAATAAAACTAGTGATAACATGGCGCTCTGATTGTTTTTTGTTGTAGAATACTATAGGGGATATATACACGTTATAGAAACGAAAATTATGGTGTATAAAATTGATTTTAAGATAAAAAAATATACGATAAAGAATTCACTTGACGGAGCTCAAACTCAAAACACGCGGTAGCCTATGTGTGCGCTTGTCCTTTTTTTTATTTGCTTATTTTATTTTTTTTAATGCAAGAGTAAAAATCATAAAGTCTATATAAAGTCCTTATGTAGCTGTGACAAGTATAGCTAATAACATATTATGAACTTGCCTGAACGGGACTGCCCAGTTCATATGCTACAGTAATATAGTTTATTAGCATGTAATGCTATGGAAATACGGAAATATTATGAACCCCAAGTTTAATCTCCTCAACAGGACTACTTTATATATATATATATATATATAACACTTTAGAATAGGGAACACATATTCACTATTAACTAAGAGTTTCCCTGAACAACTCCTAATTTGCTGCATATTAATAGTTAGTAAGGTAGTTGATAAATTTAGGTACAGGGTGGATTAAGGGATCTAAAATACGGTCATGCAGAATAAGGCATTAATATGTGCTTTATAAGTACTAATAAACAGGCAATATGCTAGTAATAAGCATGCTAATAAGCAACTAATTAATAGCTAAAATTTGATCCTTAATACTTTCAAGTCCTTTGACATCCAAGAAATGAGAAAACATTTGTAGTACATCAGCTGATCACTGCGGGTCGGGGAGAATCTGTAGTGGAATTGACGTTACACAGTCTTTATACACCACTCAAGAAAGCCTTTGTTGCTATGAATGTCATATAAATGTAAATATAATCTAAGAGCTGTGTCAGCAAATCTATCATATGTTCCAAGGTGGATATTCCCAGGGTCAGACAAAATAATCACATTACATATAACTCTGATTACCACAAGTAGTGAGAGTAACAACATAACAACAGGCACCAAACTCTGTCAGGTCTGAGAAATCAGCAGAGTTCTTGGATGTTTCAGCAAATAGAAGTTCTGAAATGCACACATTGTTTCTGTGAGTCAAGATACAAACTTTCAAAATATCTATACTGAACAAAATTATAAACGCAACACTTTTGTTTTTGCCCCCATTTTTCATGAGCTGAACTCAAAGATCTAAGACTTTTTCTATGGACACAAAAGGCCTATTTCTCTCAAATATTGTTCACAAATCTGTCTAAATCTGTGTTAGTGAGCACTTCTCCTTTGCCAAGATAATCCATCCACCTCACAGGTGTGGCATATCAAGATGCTGATTAGACAGCATGATTATTGCACAGGTGTGCCTTAGGCTGGCCACAATAAAAGACCACTCTAAAATGTGCAGTTTTACTGTATTGGGGGGGGTCCGGGGGGGTCCGAAAACCAGTCAGTATCTGTTGTGACCACCATTTGCCTCACGCATTGCAACACATCTCCTTCGCATAGAGTTGATCAGGTTGTTGATTGTGGCCTGTGGAATGTTGGTCAATTTCCGTCTCACACCAAGTTTGCCACGATCATTGACGTTAGTTCACAGTATATAACTTAACAGCTACGACAAAACGTATTTCTGTCAGAAAATATTGAACATTTTGAAATAGTTTTTTTAATATATAAAAACGTACCTACCTCACGACGAACTACAAGTCCTTTGTGCTGCAGAACCAGGGTCCTGTCGTGGCGCACTTCTCAACATTTAACTACAGATGTGGTGTTAAAACACGCTCCTGAACACCAAAATAAAACACAGCCAAGGAGTATCCCATAACACAAACTGTAGTCAGAGTTAAAAAATAAACTCCAGAAATCTAACTCTTTCACACTTTTTTGCCTAACTCCTGATTTTTCAACTCCTGAAATTTGCTGTGTGCCTATAGTGTTAGTGTGCCCTAAGTTTAACTGCTTCAAGCACAGCGACATTACCACATTGCTACTGAGAAACATCAAGACGCTTTTCAGCTGCAAATCTATTTTATTGATACATGTGTGAGGCAGCGCTGACAACAAGTATGTATGCGTGTGTATGTTGTATGAAAGTGAAAGTGACGTGGCCAAGTATGGTGATTCATACTCGGAATTAGTGCTCTGCATTTATCCCATCCAAAGTGCACACACACAGCAGTGAACACACACACACACACACACACACACACACCGTGAACA